CACCAGCCAGAGCCTCCCCCCCGCCCCCCGCAGGCTCTGTGATGAAAGCACAAGTGGCCTTTCCAGATTGTCTTGAGGTTTTAAGGGTAAAATTGAAATCTTTATAAAATACTATTAGTATACCATCTCATTATTATTTTACCACAGTAGGCTACCTTTAATATTGAGTTGGAAATACTTGGCTCTTAAAATTGCCAGAAAGGTAAACCCAACCTTTTTCTGCTAAAAAGCAAAGACATGCTCATTTATGCTCCATGGTAAGAACTTCAAAACTGTCACTAAGTCCTAAGAGGCCAAATTTTAAAACACTGCTCAACTTACAGAAATCTGATTATTTAAATTATAGTGTACACACTTTGCGAGTACAAAACCAACTGAGTCTTTTCTAAGGTCTTAGTTTATGGTACTAGTACTCCGCAATAATGTAGTTATCAAAATAGTTTTCAAAGGAATTTGTTCAATTTTTATCAGTCATTTTAGGAACAAGTTAGGAGATCCTTCCGCATGCACATAACTAGCTACCCCTCACATTTTCTGATCATTTTTTTGGTATTTAAATATGGGGTGCTACACTTTATCTGGACCTTTAAATACAAAAGGAGCCACTATATCCCACAGCGTTCACAGGACTTAACTGTTTAGTTTCAAATCAACACAAACCTCTGTACTACTTCATCATCTGTCCTGGAGCCTTCTCTACTTTTACCCAGATCCTCTTCTACGGTTCCATCCACATCGACTTCATCATCAGCTCTGACCGACCCTGAAGGAAGATTTCACACCGGGAAAGTTTTAAACTTGTTGCTTCCTTACTTCTCAGAAGCAGTATGATCAAACAGGGCAAGGGGTAGGGGTTGCAAAATTCGGTTGGTAAATATGCCCAACTTTAGTAAACCCAAGTCAGTATATTTCTTATTCAAGTTTAGATGCTGAGGTAGCCCAGTAGATTATGAAATACGGAGGCAGCCATCAATTCTAAACAGTGTCCCTCCGATCTTTCAACAAATAACACTTGCTATCAGTGTCCCTCCGATCTTTCACAAATAACACTTGCTATCAAGCCCCGTCTACACCCGCACGTGTTGCGCGCTGGCAAGAGACAAGGCCTCCAAACTGACCAAGCCAAAACTTAGGCCTTCGTTATCACGGGTCAGAATACGAATAGGATTTGTGCAACCTCTGGTGAGAGAAGCTGAAATGGGGCGCAGGAGCTAGAGACGGGGACGTTAAGAGTCCAGCTCGAGCACGAGTGAATCAAACACGCTGACACGGCCATTCCGCTGGCCCACGGCCCACGCTCCGGAGACCGACACCTAAGAAGGGAAACGCGCTCTCGAGTAGGAAGGTCGGGGGCAGGAGTCCTCAAGCTCGGGAGGCCAAAGGTGGCGGCGGCTGACAAAGTCCCCCGGGAGCGGAACCCGCAACACCCCCAGGGGAGCGACAGCCCAGGAGAAGCCCCACCCCAAGGTGGCTGAGACCTCCGGGCGCGATACTATTAGATCCACAGGGCATTTAAACGACTCTGTTCCCGTTTTTTCCTTCCAGAGGATGAAGAGTAAACGTAATCCCCTATGCCTCTCTCGAGGACAGGCGATGGGTCCCTTGGCCCACCGCAGGGGCTGGCATCCCCCTCCCAAGCTCAACGGCCCCCAGAACCTTCGAGAAGTGGCCGCGCTTGGGGAGGGGAGGGCGTCCGCTCCTCCAGGATCACTCACCGAAGGTCAGCAGGATGCAGCAGAGGCCCAGCACCCACAGGGCCTTCATGGCGCGCCGCCGGGAAGTCTCAAATCCCTCTTGCTCGCAGGAGCCGCCTCCCCACCCCCACACCAGGGTCCAGCACCTCACACCTCACGCCGCGCGGTCCGCCCACTACACCCAAGCAGCTCCGGCCGCTTTTCACCCCCACTTCTCGCGGGCGGGGGACGGGGAACACGAACCCACCAATTGCGCCGCACCACGCACCCACTGTACCCAATGGGGAATGCTGGGGGGGGACCGCAGTCCACCAATCGAAGCTGTCCAGGTGCGGTGCCCGAGGCCCGAAGCGTGGCTCCTTCCGATTGGTCATGTGTAGCGGCTTTTCTCCAATCAAGTGGCTCCGCGGGCCTCTCACATGCGGGACCGCCCCTTTGCCTGGGAAGCCTTGGCCTCCAATGAACGTAAACGCAGAACACGGCCCATCCTTTTCGAGAGGTCACGGCAGAACTACTTCCGGATCCTAGAGCCTAGAGCGCGTTTATCCCGTGACCAGGGGAAACGGGTAGCCAGGCAACGCGTTCTTCGCCTTTCCCATCCACGCCTGGCGTCACGTTGGGAGTGATTCCAGCGCGACTTTCGCAGTCAGCTTTCCGTTTGGCAGTACTTTCCGACAAAGAGAAACACGTGAAAGGTTGAAACTCCCCGAAGCGGTTTTGGATGGGGTGGTGGCGAGAAACTACAGTTCCCGGCATGCAACGCACTAGGAGTACACTGTATTGAAAGCTGGGAGTCGTAGTCTTTGGCTTGTGGGCCAGCCGCGTAGTTGGCCCTTTCCTTCACATTACGTTCTCCATGCGTGTCTTTACGGGAACTCTGTCCTACGTCTTTTAGAATTTACATCTCGTTATGATTCCGGTGCGGGTCTGTGCCTGTTCCGGCACTCTCCAGTGTACACAGCTGTGAGAAGCGGGCCTAGGAAGCCGCCGCGCCTGCGCCAGGGCCGCCCTGTGCTCTGCGGGTCGGCCTGAGTCTGGGCCCCGCCTCCGGCTGGGGGACGGGCGTTTCCGAATCTGGCTTCTCTTACGTCACTTGGGCATCCTGAGCCTTCCCTTCCTCTGCACGTTCCGCGGCCGGAACCCTCAAGCCTTCCTGGTTCGGTTTATAGAAGAGCGTGGTGGGGCTTTATTTTTAATTTCTTTCTTCCGCTGAGGGAAATCGGCAGCCACTCTGATGCCTTCGACTCCCCCATAGAGTACAAAGACGGTGACTTGGTGGTCCCCGAGCCCCTGCTGTAAGGGGACCCTGAGAGTGTGGTGATGCAGTCCGGTCTAGCACAGAAAAGGAAGACCCTTAGTTTACAGGGTACGGGAGGATACACCTGCAGATATTTGAAAGCAAAACCCGCGGTGCTGCAAATGAGAACTGGATTGCAGCTTTGAAACTTCATAGAAATACCCTGCCCGAGTACAGAAAGACACAACACCAGGTGTCTTTCCTGTGAGGGAAGTCCCTCACACTAAGCTTGTGTCTTTGGAAATACTTTCTACGTCGCGTTAACCTCGTCTTTACATCACCCGCACCCGCGCCCCGTATCCAACATACACTCCCCCTTTTTGCCTCCTCCAGCAAAATTGAACTTAGAATTTGTTTTCAGATAATTATCCGGATTCCTGACGACAAGCTTTTCAGTGACAGTCTGTCATAGTCCTTTAAAACTTCCCTTTTTAGGATTGCTAATCTTGATTTTGTGGTTGGCGTTTACATATTGTGGTGGTGCCTTATTTACATCTGCCCAATTTACCTGCATTTGTTATTAGTAAGCAAAGGGGTAACTTACAAGCAGGTCTTATGCTTCTGTGCTTGCGTTTTTTTTGAACTGTACACTAGGATGTGAATTGCATTCAGAAATCTCAATTGCATTTTTGTATGTTTTAACTTTTTTTTTATTTTTTATTTTTAGAAAAAGATGAATTCCTTCACTTTTCTGCATTCCACGGCTCAACTTCTTCACTTTTTTCTCTGGTTCTGAACAAATAAGCAACCAGTTCTGAAACTGCAGATGCCATTTAACTGGTCAGTGGTGGGTAGTTCGTGGTGCACCTGGAGGGAACTGAGAGTGAGACATGCCCTCCAAAATAGAGCCACTACTTGTGGGTGGACGTTTCTGCAGATGATGGTGAGAATTCGTGAGGCGGACAGAGGAGAAGACAGCAGGCTGGCAGAAGATGGCAGACCATTGTCTGACGCAACTCTGCCCCTTTAAGATAGGATTTCTGGCTGAGCACCCTGTGAAAAGAATGGGCAGCTTACTCAGTTCCCAGCCTTGCTGTTTCTTTCTGGTCTCTTCACCTCTTCTGACATTTGACCCATTACTGATCCTCAGTTCCCATCTTGCCGTAGCTCCTCCAGAACTGACACTCCAGATGGTTATTAAGGTCCTCACCTTTGGATGTGAATACCTTGCTTCCTAATTCTAATGTTTCTCTTTGACACTATATTTACATGGGCACTACTGGGAACAACTACATTTATTGTTGTTGTTGTTGTTAAGCTTCTTCTTGAGCATAGTTAACCCTACAAGTTAGCACCCTACCCTGTAGTTAAACTTGGAAGGGAAAGACCAGATAGGCAAAGAGATGCAGTTAGGGGCAATGGATAGCTCTCCTGGTAGGCAGGTATAGTCTGGCAGTGGGGAGTCAGGGAGAATGCAGACTGGGGAGACCAAGGCAGTAAAGCAGTTGGCATCAGGAAGCAGTAAGGAATGAGGCCAAGCACCAAGGTGAATTGGTTGGTTAGTCGATTCATTCATTCATTTACTTATTTATATAGCAAATGTCGAGGACCTGGTATATGCCAGGTATTATGCTAGTGAGCAATATAGATATGGTCTTTGTACAGAACTTGTACAAATATTAACAATGGACTTGCATCATAAGTGCAAGTATCTTATTTAAACTGAAGTAAAGATATAAAAGAATGATTGCAAAGGAGTACTAGGGAGCTTTTTGGGATGATGGAAATGCTCTCGATCTTGATATTGGTGGTGGTTAAAACTCATCAAATTGTATGCTTAAAAAGGGCGAATTTTGTTATATATAAATTACATATATTGTATAAATTATATATAAATTATACCTCAATTAAAGAAAACTAACAGCAACTGTCATCCTAAACACCAAACACTAAAAATTATTTCAGTAAGAATGAGGAACCAGACAGTGATCCCCATAATTGTCAGTATTGTCCCACGCTGTGTAGGTGGGTCTAACAACAAGACAAGAAAATGAAGTAATGGGCATAAATTTTAGAAAAGTTGAAGTCCTTTATTTTGAAATTCCTTCTTACTGATGACATGATTGTATATCCCAGTGACCCAACAGACTCTAGTTAAAAAAAAATGTATAGAATGAACATGAGAATTTGGTAAATTATTGGCTATAAGAGAAATACATAAAAATCAATAGTCTTGCTCTAATCTTGCAAAAAACAAAGAGAAATGGAAATTTTTAAAAATTCATTTATATTACAGGCAAAAACCTTAAAATACTTAGGAGAAGACATAACAAACTTAACAAGAAGGACATAGTTCCAACATGAAGAATACCATAAAATATTGAAGAATACTATAATATATTGAAGAATATAGAACGAATGAAGAACTTGGGTCAGGTCCCATATGCTATGTATTATATATTGCTGTGTAACAAATTACCCCAAAATTTAGCAGCTTAAAACAATAAACATTTATTATCTCACACAGTATCTGTAAGTCAGGAATCTAGAAGCACTTAGCTGGGTAGTTCTGGCTCAGAGTGTCTCATGAGCTTGCAGTCAAGATGTCAGCCAAGGCTGAAGTCATCTGGAAGCTTGACAGGGAGAGGAGGATCTGCTTCCATGATGGCTCACTCACATACTATTGGCTGAAGGCCTCAATTCCTCATCACAAGGACTTCTCCATAGGACTGCTTAGTTGTGCTCACAGCATGGCAGCTGGCTTCCCCAGGAGTGAGTGATTCAAGACAGAGAACAAAGCAGGAGCTGCAATGAGTCATAACCAACCTCAGAAAGCATACATCATCATTTTCAAAATAACCCAGCTCAGTGAAAGGATTACATGAGTGTGTGAATACCAGCAGTCAGAGATCACTGCGGCCAATTTGGAGGCCGGCTACTACCACACCCTAATTTCAAGAGAAGCTGGGAAAGGCTTTAAATGGCATTTTCAGCTTCTCTCATGTGAGACGGGCTCAGAATCATGAGGTGGGGATTTTCCCAAGTATCGGAAGGGGATTCAGATGCTGCACAGTGAGAATGAGTGATGAATGTCCACTGCTTATTTGAATATACAAACAGATCAGTGCAATACAAGAGAGAAGCCAAAAATAGATTATTTCAATATAACATGACAAAAGTGATAATTCAGAGGGGAAATGATGATTTATTTCATGAATGACAGCCTTAATTGGTTATCCACCTGAAGCAAAATCAAGTTGAAGTTTTATCTTACACCATATAAAAAATAAATTCCAGTTTTCTAGTGAGAGAGTAAAGGGTAGGGATAGGAGAGATCTTCTTAACCAAGATTGAGAATCTAGAAAATATAACAAAAAGCCTAGGGTGTTTACCAGGCCTCCTCCTTCTTGGTGGGCCTTGAACTCCAATTTTTGTCTTTCTGGGACTAGCACTATGAGGCTGCTGAGCTTTGCTTAGCTTATCAGTCTTGTGCCTTTTAAGAATATTGGTTCTGTGTGGCATAAGAATCAGCAAATACTTGCAGGAGAAAAGCAACAATGAATGTTGGGCTCACTTCTCTAAGCTTCCATTCTCTTTGGAATCTTGTTTCCTCGAATCCTGGTTGCCTGGGTAGTTATCTGATGCCTTTAAATAAATTGTTTCTCAAGTATCTTATGCAGCCTCCCTAGTTCTGGCCAGAGGGTTGGTGTGCTTCAAATTTTCCATCATTGTAAGATATAGAAGTAGATGTAGATCTACAAAGTAGTAGTTGGAAGTCCTTGGTCCTGTTGCAATGTTTCCAAAAAACCAGATTTCAGCTAAGATAGTAAACAACCGTAATTATTTTCTCATATTAACCTTTTGGTGGTTTTTCATCAAGCAGTTTGTATGATGTTCATTGTTTCCAAACTGTGGAACTTATCATTTTCATTATTATTATTGGCTATAAAGCAATAAGTGTTTCTAAATATTGGATATACTTGTAACTATAGTTTACATTATATCATTTTTTGACTAGTTTTAACTGCAATTTTGAGTTATTTGCGACCTCCCTATCCTCCCCTCCCTCACCTTAACTCACACTACTTACCCTGCTTGAGAACTGACTTTGGATTTATAAAATGGTTACCTGCATCTGCTAATAAAATCTCTGCGTACTGTGGCTCTCTTACATGCAAGCAGAAAGTTACAACCTTATATAAATTAAATTTACCCATAGTCTTGTAGTTTACACTTATTTTGTATTATTTAGAAACAAATGTCTCCCTAGAGTCTGCCTTAGAAAAACAGGTCCGTTTAAAATATCTATCCAGTTGTCCCCTGTCAACTGTGGACCCTAGTACAGCACAAGGGGAACTGAATTTCAAATAGGTATTTGTTCAATTTAAAACTGTGGTAAATATGTTTGATATTTTGAATGACCAAACAGCCATGTTAATAATAATTTATATTAGGGATTTACTAGATTTTTAGAGCAGGAAGGAATTTTAGAAGTTATGTAGTTCCGGGCCAGCCTGGTGGCGCACTCGGTAGAGTGCGGCGCTTGGGAGTGTGGTAGTGCTCCCGCCGAGGGTTCGGATCCCATATACAGACCGGTCCCTCACTGGTTGAGCGCGGTGCGGGCGCGACACTGAGGGTTGCGATCCCGTTGCCGGTCGCGGTACGGGCGCGACACTGAGGGTTGCAATCCCGTTACCGGTCACGAAAAAAGACAAAAAGAAAAAAAAAAAAGTTATGTAGTTCCACAACTCCCCCTTTAGGTTTTAAATTATAAAACTAATAGATTTTCACGGTTAAAAAAAAAGCTCAATTGGTGCAGAAAAGTGTCAGATGAAAGGTAAACGTTCCGGGCTCCCCACAGCCTACCCTTCCCATTCTGTAGAGGTTACCACTGATAAAGGTTTCTTGGCAGTATGGGGATCCAAACCCTTGACTTTGGTTTTGTTACGCATCCTTCCAGAAATTTTCTAGTGTGTGTTTGTGTGTATGCATACACACACACATTAAATAGAACAATACACACTAGCTTATTCTGTTTCCTAGATCTTAGATGTCTTGTTCCTTTTCATCCACTTCCCTATTTGATAGGCATTTGGATCTTTTCCAGTTTGTTGCTATTACAGCCAATACTGCAGGGAATGTTTTAAGACTCACAGGTTTTCATACTTGTACAAGTTAATGTTGAGGATGAGTTTTTAGTTTGGGAATAGTTAGGTCAAAAAGTGTGTGCATTCAAATTTTTGTGGATATTTACCAATTCTCCTACAAAAAAAAAAGCTATACCAATTTATGCTCCCATCTCAAGTCTCTCCCAACATTTTTTTTTTTTTTAAAGATGACCGGTAAGGGGATCTTAACCCTTGACTTGGTGGTGTTAGCACCACGTTCTCCCAAGTGAGCTAACCGGCCATCCCTATATGGGATCCGAACCTGTGGCCTTGGTGTTATCAGCACCACACTCTCCAGAGTGAGCCACCGGCCGGCCCCCAACTTTTTTTTTTTTTTTTAAAGCTTAGAAAATTTGAGTTCCAAAGAAATTAAATGAGGCCCACGAGGTAGGTAATGGCAGAATAAGCTGGAATTCATATTTTAAAAATTTCTACATGGGCCGGCCTGTGGCTCACTCGGGAGAGTGTGGTGCTGATAACACCAAGGCTGCTGGTTTGGATTCCTATATATGGATGACCGGTTCGCTCACTTGGGAGAGCATGATGCTGACAACACCAAGTCAAGGGTTAAGATCCCCTCACTGGTCATCTTTTTTTTAAAAAAAAGAAATTTTTATTGTAGAAAATTTAGAGATTAGAAAAAAAGGTCAAGGAAGAAAATTAGCGCATATGCCTTAATTAGATACATCACTATTAGCATCTTGGTGTCTATTTATATTTAACATATTTTAAAATTAAAATTAGGAGCACACAATAATGCTGTTTTGTAACTCTTTTTCACTTGCCAATGTATGGTAAACATTTTCTCATGTAAATATTTTTACAAGATATCCAATTTATTATTGTTAGACCTTTAGTTTGTGACTTTTTTAAACCATTATAAATGTTACTGCAATGAAAAACCTTAGAGGTAGGGCCGGCCCGGTGGCGCACTGCTACAGTGCGCCACTTGGGAAGCGCGGCGGCGCTCCCACCGAGGGTTCAGATCCCACATACAGACCGGCCGCTCACTGGCTGAGCGAGGAGCAGGGGCAACACCAAGGGTTGCGATCCCGTTGCCGGTCCCGGTCCAGTACGGGCGCGACACTGAGGGTTGCGATCCGTTGCTGGTCACGGAAAAAGACAAAAGACAAAAAAAAAAAAAAAACCTTAGATGTAAATCCGTATAGACAAATACTCATAAAATAAATTCCTGAAATTGGAATACTTGGTTAAAATATGTAATTTGTTTTAAAAGGCTTCACGAAAAAAGACAAAAAGACAAAAAAAAAAAAAAACAACAAAACCTTAGATGTAAATCCGTATAGACAAATACTCATAAAATAAATTCCTGAAATTGGAATACTTGGTTAAAATATGTAATTTGTTTTAAAAGGCTTTGGATATACACTGACATATTGCCCTGTGGGAGAGTTTTACCAATTTACATTCCCATCAATTTGCTTTAAGCATAGATGCTTAACATTAGGGGTGGGGACCTCAGCTGTCTGATCAGGTCAAGAAAATTTCGATTTTACATTTTTTCTGCCTTTTTCTCATTGTTAGGGTGTTTGGGACAATCTTTTAGATTTCACATCCCAAACAGGAAAGAAAATACCCAGGCTTTTGATAAAGAAAATTCCAGTTCATTATTTCCCCAGTTATGCTGAAGATTTCCTAAAACCAGCAGGCCTGAGGCATAGGTATAGGCTACTGGGGAGGAAACAGGAAGGATTAGCAGGTTATCTTGCTTTCCTGAGGGAACTATATCAGGCCTTTTTAAAAGAATGTCCCAGAGTCTTCAGGGCTTAAGTTAAACCATATTCATGCATAGGAAAGGGAAGGTGAAAACTGGCTTTCTTTTCTGCTGAGGCCAAAGGCTTGTTACTGTTCTGTGATGTTGTTAAGAGTTTTCCATTGTCAGCCTGGATCCACAGAAGTCCCTAGATAGCATGGCTTGTCTTTGTAATATGCCTTTTTTTCTTGCTGCTTTTAAGATTTTTTAAAATCACTGCCTTTTAGCCATTTAATTATGATGTTCTTTTCCTGTATGCTCCTTTCTCTGTAGAACTCTGCCTCCAAATTTATAGCTTCTTAAGGCTCCCTGTACTATAATCTCTGTCTCCTCATATCAGTAGGACACAATGTGCTCTGCTTGGGATTCCCCTTTTTGCAGCACCATCTGGGATGTGCTTCCAGGCTGAGAGGTCGGGATGATTCTAAGGTGCATGTCATTTGTGTCTCTTCTCTCAGGGATCACACAACTGTACTGCCTGATTTCTAATATCCATTAGACATTTCATATATTTTGTTCGGTTTTCTAATTCTTTGCAAAGGGTGGGTAGGTCTAGTCCCTGTTAATATATCATGGCTGGAAGCAGAAATCCATAACTGTCTTTTTAATAGATGCACAACCTGCTATGAGTGGTGATACTTTTATTCTGTTAGTTATTCCCTTCACAAAGACCATTTAGTTTGCTTTCTTTCTTTTATTACTTTTTCCCATAATAAACAATGCAATAAACATCTTAATGTCTACAGCTTTTCACTATTTGGATTAGTTCCTTGGGAATGATTCCCAGAAAGTAGAAGTTTTGAGTCAAAGATGATAACTGCTTCAATATATTGTGAAATATGTTGCCACGTTGCTTTCCAAAATTACCAATTTTCTTTCTTTTTTCTCAGCCAGTGAGCTCACCGGTCATCCCTATATAGGATCCGAACCCGCGGCGGGAGCGCCGCTGCACTCCCAGCGCTGCACTCTCCCGAGTGCGCCACAGGCTCAGCCCTCCAATTTTCAATTCTATAGCTATATATGAGTATAAATTTCATCAATACTTAGATAGCTATATTCTTTTCTTTCCCTTTTTTTTTTTTTTTGGGTGGCTGGCCAATATGGGTTTCCGAACCCTTGACCTTGTTGTTAGTAATACCATGCTCTAACTAGCTGAGCTAACTGGCCAGCCCTAGATAGCAATAATTTTTTAAAAAATCTGTATTATTGCTTATTTTTAAAGTTCTTTGCATTTTAGAAATATTGAATTTTAAAATATGTATTCTTGGGTTTTTTTTTTTTTTTTTTTGGTCTATTTGTATCTTTTGCTTACATATCTTCTAGGGTGTCAGCATTTTTCTTAGAATAAAGATAAAATTATTTGTGGCAAATATTTTTATAGTCCATTGTTTGCCTTTTAAGTCTTTTTAAAAATGTAATTACATCTGTTCATTTCTTCTACAGCCTGTAAGTTTTGTAAGTTTCTCTAGGTCTGATAAATATTTATGTTTTCTTTTCATTTAAAAAATTATATTAAATTCTTTTATTCAACAAGTATTTCCCTAGCAGCTACTCTGAGCCCATCAGATATTAGGTGTTGGGGACATGTCATGAATAAGATAGAAATGACCTCCGATCACATGGGAATAGAAAAAGGTAGATATTTGCAAGGGCCTGTACTCTCTCTCTAGCCTCCTACATAACAGGTGCGAAGTCTATGAGGGTACTTCAAAAAATTCATGGAAAGATTCATATTATCTTTTAATTCTATTTTTCCACAAACTTTTTGACGTACCCTCATAGTAATAAAACACCCATGGAGTCTATTCTGTCATCTTTTAGATTTTTTTTCTTTTTGGTAAAATAGTATGAGATGGTGGTCTAAATTAATATTTTCTGATTTGTTACCTGTTTATTACAATGCTGCTTATTAGATAGGTGTTTCCCACTCATTGATTTCTTGTGTCTTCATGGCCTAGAGTCTTATCTCTATAATAAGGAGACGTTATAATCTGTGTGGTCTGGAGTGAAGCTGAGCTGTTTAGATCCTTGCTTTACACTTACCAGCTAAATGACTTTGGACATATTGCTTATCCTGTCTGAACTTCTGTTTCTTCATCTGTGAAGTACAGTGTATCATCTATCACAAGATTATTGTGACAATTCAATGCAAAAGAGTTCACACTTTTTATTATTATTTTTTTTTTTATTTTTATTTTTTTGTCTTTTTGTCTTTTTTCCGTGTCCGGCAACGGATCGCAACCCTCAGTGTTGCCCCCGCACCGGACCGGGGACCGGCGACGGGATCGCAAGCCTCGGCGTTGCTCCCGCGCCTCGCTCAGCCAGTGAGCGGGAGCCGGTCTGTACATGGGATCCGAACCCTCGGACGGGAGCGCCGCCGCGCTTCCCAAGCGGTGCACTATCCAGTGCGCCACCGGGCCGGCCCGAGTTCACACTTTTTAAACAGGTACTGCATTATTATATTGTTGTCAGGTGATCTTGATGAAAAATTGCTTTATGCTTTATAACATGGTGTATTTTTCCACCAGTGAAAGCAGCAAACATAACCAAAGAAGCAACATTTGGTATGGAAATGAGTTGTATCAAGAAAAATCTTATAAAACTAGGTAGTTTTTATAATTATTTTTTCTGAGGTCTTGCATGCGTAGCTATGTCATTGTTGGAGGGTATGTGTTTTTCCATTAGCTCAGTGGAATATAATTGTTAGCACATGTAGGTGAATGGACAATGGAATGTTGTATGAGCCTGCACAATTTAAGATTTAAAAAAATAATAACTGTACTCTATTGAGTTCTTAGATTCAGACTTCCTTCCCTCTCAGCTGCCAGCCGCATTCTTGGTGTTGACCCTTCTGATATTTTGATTTATTCCTCCTGTCCTGACTGGTCACAGTCACTGGTCTTCCCTGGCTTGTTCTGCTCCTAAGTACATTAGGCTCCTTTTCTGGACTTGTCTTCCTTTTCACAGCATCAGCAAGTCCCCTTGCATAATTTCTAATTCATAGTGGGGAGAAATAGCGGCTTGCTGAAGGAACCCTGGGAAGGTAGAATGGGGAGCTGGGAAAGAGGGGAGGCCTTGTGTCCAGTGCCCACTGGCCTCTTGGTTCTCAGTTCTTCTGTGAAGCTTTGGGAGAGCAGGGAAGACATGAACTTCCTATAATCCTAAAATGAATGTGTTTTTGTTTTTCTTTTTCAGTACTAACTTAAACTAGATTTTTTTCACATCTGATCTGTCTTGTTGGTTGGATCTCTCACCTTCAAAGGTCGATAAGAAACAACTTGGGGGAAAGATTTCCATCAGTTTGAAGCAAACATAATTAGGAGAAAGACTTAGAAGCAATGGAATTCGGTGGCTCCACTGAGAAGAAAACTGATATATTTTAAGCCTGATGTTGTCCCCAAGTAAAGTGAAATGAGAGAGAAGGCAAATGAGAATGTAGAACGGTATGCTCAATTTATTTTAAAGCCCCAGAAACCCATTCAGCCTTACATCTGCTCAACTCTAAATGATTTTCAAGAAGAGAGAGACTTTTTGGCAAACAACATCTTCCCTCGACTTAATGAACTCTGCCGTTCCCGGGGCACGTATTTCAAAGCTGTGGACCTGAGGTGGTCAGCATTTAAGGCTGAGAAATCTTTACCTGCCAATCTGTTTAGACAGTATTCTTGTCTCTGCTCCCAGCATCTGAAGCTCTGTCTTGACCATGTGAACATCTGCTTTCCCTTTTTCATCTGCATGCTTGGTCAGACCTACGGAGACTTTCTCCCTGACTACTCACCTTTCATGTTCTCCAAAGCAACTGACTTGTCAAGTTTATCCAAATTAGAACAGAATCTCTATGTTGCTGCAAAAACCGGTTATCCTTGGGTCCTGGAGAATCCCAACTACAGTCTGACAGAGTTTGAGGTCATCCAAGCAGCATTTCTGAATGAGTCTCAATTTCAGTATTTTTACTTTAGAACTGGAACCACACTGCTGAAGACTTTAAATAAGGAAAAGGAAGAAAGGCTGTCCTCAGATTTTCTGATAAATGAAGAAGAGAAATTGAAGATTGCAAAGCTTAAGGCCAAGATTATTAGTAAAGGGCTCCCTGTCAGATTTTACAGAGATCTCCATGAGTTGGGTGAGCTGGTTTTCAAGGACTGGTCGGATGTGATAGAAAAACTTTACCCAGCTACTTTAATGATTGAAAATATAGGTTAGTAAGTATAGAGATAGCTGAGTCTATTATCAACATATGGTTAATGTTTTGTATGTCTTCCTTGTGAAAAGAATTTTTAAATGATTGAAAATATTCCTTAAGCATTTAAAATTATTACTGTATTCCTGTAACATGTACTTGTATTTCTCCATTTTGAAGATTTTTGAATCTGAAAATAAAAGCAAATAATAGGCCATGGAAGATTATTTAGGAAGTTAATGAGCTCAGAGAAGCCCCCAAATATCTGATAATTAATATGTAGATCTAGAGCAGAGGTTCTCAACTAGGGTCTATTTTGCTCCCCACTCCCACCCCCTAAGGGACATTTGGCCATGTCTAAAGACATTTTTGGTTATCATAGTTGGGGAAGAACTACTGGCATCTAGTGGGTAGAGAGGCCAGGGATAATGCCAAACATCCTATAGTGCACAGGACAGCCCCCCATAATAATTATCTAGCCCAAAATGTCAGTAGTGCCAAGGTTGAGAAACCCTGAGCTAAAGGGAAGAAAACTAACTAATGATTTGGTGCTTTGTGTGTTGTGGCATTTAATCTTCAAGTTTTAACCCTGCAAGGTAGATACCATAATTCTGGTTTTACAGATGAGCAAATGAAAGCTGCTGCAGGTCAGTTAAGTGACTTTCCCAATGTCACATAACTAGTGAGGGACCAATCCAGAATTTGAACCCAGGTCCCTCTGACCCCCAAATCCATGCCTGTTCTCCTTCACCTTTAATACTCAGCGTGTAATCCATAGACCAGCAGCCTCAGCTTCACCTGGGAGTTTGTTAGAAATGCAGAATCTTGGGCTCCATTCCAGCTCTACAGAATTATATTTTGCATTTTAACAAGATGACCATGAGATTTGCATGCACATTAAAGCTTGAGAAGCACTGCCTGACATCATATTGCTTCTAAATGAAATAATTACCTGTATTTCTGGAAATAGTGTCTCATGGCCATGTACCAGATTAAAAATGGAAGAGTATGGCTGGGATTCTTCACCTAGACTGACTTTAGGAGGGATCTGTGATATATGAAAAATAGATTATGTGAAATTATATGAAGAATAGAATGTTTACAAGCATGTATGTGTTTTGGGGGGTAAGAAGATGGCCTGTGTGTTTGATAGGATTTTCAAAAGGCTAATGACCCAGAAAAGGTATGAATTACTGATGAAAGGGCCCAGTTAATGTGGGGATGCAAAATGGTGGCAGGTGGTCATTCTCAAATGCTTTCATGGATCAGGCAGACAATCGTCCTTGTAATATGTAATAGGAGAGGGAGCGGATGGATCTATAGTGAACAGGAGAGTGTTGATCCACCTAAAGTCATTTGAATTCAGTGTGGGGGGTGGTGGTGAAGACTAACATGTACTGGCCAAATAAAACTGTCTACAAACCAAATTATTTTGGGCTCTGGAAAAGAGCATTTTATCAGTCACAACTCTTGGTTGGAAGTGACTCAAACTGGCTTCAACAAAAAGGGAGCTTATTAGCTTATATAACTACAAAGCCCAGAATGCAGTCTGGTTCAGCTAAAGCTTCATCCAGTGGCTCAAATGATGTTACCAGACCCTTGTCTCTTCATTGTTTCTCAGCCTGGCTCTGCTGCCATGAGGTTGGCTCTGCTCCTTGGCTCTTCCATCATGGAAGGAAGATGGCTGTAAGCAGCTCCAGGTTCAAATCTGGTAGACATGGCTCAGAGTCCTAGCATTTCTAGCATCGAATCTTTCTGTTTCTGATCAGCCTGACCTAGGCCATATGCTCGCATCTGACTCAATCAATGGTGCCAAGAGAATATGATGCTCTGATTGGCCAGTCCTGGGTCATAGGCCACCTCTGGAACCGGAGGTAGAATCAGACCTACAGGGATATATGAACTGAGAGTTGGGATGTGTGCTTTCCAAATGATAATCTAAGGCTGTTACTGAAACTAGGGTAGAGTGAATGGATGTGGGGCAGCCTCAAATTTTTCCCAATATGTACTACAGGTTTGGGGTTTTAGAATCCGACAGACACATTCAGATTCTATATTCTTCAGTTCTTAGCTACGTGACCTTGAGCAAATTACTTGATATTGGTAAGCCTTAGTTTTTTTCTTCTATAAAATGGGTTAACATTAACCACCTTGAGAGTGATAATGTATATAAAACACCTAAAAACAGTGCTGGGCACATATAGGCACAGAGTAAATATATAATGAAGATGAATAATAACAAATGGGTTCTGGAAAAATATGTATACTTGGCCAAAGTCTGAAATATGCTTAATATTAATATTCTTTTACTAATCTCAATCTGAACTGCATCCATTGATTAATATTCACTAATGTGTCCAAGAATCAATTCTTTCTGTTTTTTTTGGCTTAGGATCAGATTATTTCTCTGTAGTATTCTCCTTAGTCTTTGATTTTGGATATTATTGAAAGATTAACTTGCTTAGACTTTATTCTTGTATGTGTATTTGTGGTATAAATGTCTGAATTAAAAGGTACAGAGTGGGTGGATTATAAAAAAATATGCTTTACAAGGAAGCGCTAAGTTCTTTCTCTTTTTGATCTTCGATACCCTTTAATCATCCAGGAAACTCCAAAATCTTAGAGTCCACAGTTAGGTAGTGATAGGCCATTTGGGCAGCTGATAGTTATGGTAAGGCAATGTGGAGCTATCAGTTTATACTCTTGACCCTCAGAAGTAGTTCTGAGGTCCTTGAGGATACCTGAGAATAGTGGGTGAGGTTCAAGTTTAGCTCAAGAGACTCATTGGACTATAAGGTCATCCCAAATTCTGTCTAAGACTGTGAAACTTGAAGCTGACTTTGACCAGACTGTAAGCCCTCCAGGTCTATTCTTGCTCTAACCTGAACCATGGGGTAGCCCTGTTAACTATGGAGGTACAAGATGAGTATCTTGGGAACCTACCAGGCTAACCTATCTGGTGTTTCTTTTCCTGAATATGTTGATAACAGCCTTCACCCCCAAAAAACAAACCTGGGGAATATGGCTGTCTCCAGAGACAGGAGGGCATTTTAGAAGTCCAGAACACCCTAACTTTAATTAGGCAATGAGTTTGGAATTGTGGTAAATTGAAACTGGAAGGAACCTCAGAGATCATCTAATTGTCTCCCTCTCCCCCTTATTTTACCAGAGAGTATAGGGGACTTGCCCAATGACAGAGCTGCAACTATACTTGTGGTTGTCATCCATATTGGGGCATCTTATCCTAAAAATACACCCCATTCCCAACCTCTGCTATGGATAGGCACACATACATACCCTACAAGATTGGATTAGGTAACTTTATACTTGGCTAACAATTTGAAAAGATGACAGAATATATGTGGTGCATTAGTCTGTTTCTGTTGCTCATAACAAAATACCTAGAACTAGGTAATTTAAAAGAAAACAAAACTTATTGCTTACAGTTTCAGAGGCTGGAAGTCCAAAGTCCAGGGAACACACCTGGTGAAGGCTTTCTTTGATGGTGACTTCAGTGATGGCAGGGTATCACATTGCAAAAATGGCAGAACAGAGAGAGAGAGAGAGTTCCTCATGTACTCTCCTTGTAAAGCCCTAGAACCACATCCCTGACCACCATTATTAATCCATTCACTAAGGCATGGTCCTACAATCTAATCACCTCTTCATGGCCCCACCTTTCAATTACCATAATGGAATTTCCAACCCTCAACAATTACAGTGGGAATTAAGCTTCTAATATATGAACTCTGGGGGACAAAATTCAATTAACTCACAGCATATGGCAAGTCTAATTTTTTTTTTTTTTTGCCTGTTTCACTCCAAGGTAGTGAAATTACTTGGAATTCTAAGTAGGATTTCCTGTACAAATAGTATGAGGAAGGTTAAATTGTGTGCCTATAATTTTCTTTCATTAGCATATAGAATGGGTTGTGAAATATGGTGCCAACACAGAAAGAAGTTGATATTGATACAGAGGGACAGATAACGTCCCGAGCATTTATAATAACTATGTGCAATTGAAAATGTGAAACTACAAATCTAAGATATTAAAACGTATCTTTTTTACTCTAAAGACTACAAGCACAACTTTGAACGTTTCTATCATGAAGAGTTTACTGAGAAGTGCAAGCAAGTGTTTGTTATTTCCAAGGAATCAAACAGGATCTTTGAAATCTTGGAAAGATTTGCCCTAAAGGATGTGGAAGTTGATGTTAATGATGCAGCAGCAGGTTCCAGGTTAGACTCTGTTCTCAGGTAAAATATCAAGAAATCCCAAGCCTTTTAATGGGGCTCAAGTGAAACAGCCTGACTTTGGCAAATGTGATCCCTCAAATTTGAAATGTCTTCCCACACTTCCCCCATTCTGTGCCCATCCCTTCCTGCAAGAGAGGCCCTCTAAAAACCACCCCAGGTTAGAATTTTCTTATCAGAGACCACTCTGCATTTGCAAAGCTTTTCTGGTATTTCACATACTTTCTTCCAGTGTTCTCAAGAAAGTTCTAAACTCCTGGAGGGTAGGGGACCTGCCTTGCTTTTTTCTCCCATACATCAAAGTTGGTCTAAATAATTTCCGAGAAAGATGGAATGACTTTAAGGAGAAGAGGTTAGATTAGGAAATATGAATAATGTATCTGCATAGTACTGTGTAGTTTACAAAGAGCTTCCAC